CTGCTGAAAATGTTGGTATATAACAAGTGTTTGTCGTTATTAGCAGCCGAGGTTCTGCCTGACTCTTGTAGCTGGAGGGGAAAAAGCCACGAGGAATGGGCCTTCTGATGCTTCCATGTGATTGGGTGTTGGGTTTCCCACTCGGTCCTTCCCTTTTCTAGGGCTGGAGGACAGCTCATTGGGATTAGACTTGCCTGACTCTTGCTTTAACTCACCTTTTTACTTTTCGTTTAAAGGTCTCAATCGTGCTGACTTCCAGGAACTTCAGATGTTGAACCTGCTTCCTTCTCTGACACTTGCCCATCCCAGCTTGGGGTAGATGTGACGGGGACTACTATTAAAGTCTCTCTCTCCCTTTCCTAGGGTCTTTGGTGCTCTGCAGGTTGGTGTCCATCCGAGGGGGGCCACCTGCTGCTGGAGCTTTCTACTGGGTTTCCTCCTTTCCAGGAACAGTGAGAAGGCGGGTGTCAAGGAACCATTGCAGACATCTCTAATTCCATCGAAGGTTTCTGTCCACCTATGGGCATTTCTCCAGCCCCTCTTCAAAAGCTCCCACACCTGGGGGCTGACCTGTGCCTCTCTAATTGTCCCTTCCAGAAGACTTCCACCTGCACCCGGAAGTGCTGCTGTACCTGAGAGGCTGGAGGCTCTGAAATACCAACGGATAAAGAAGCCCAAAAAATCATCCAAGGGCTCTTCGAAGTCAAAGAAACGATCCGGTAAATGGTGGGAAGTGACCTGCCCCTCTCTTTCCTCCTTGCCTTGCCGTTGTGATTGTCGGGCTCAGGTTCCCAACCGAGGCTTGTCTCAAGACGCGAATCTGCCAGCTTCCCACATTCTTTGTTTCTTTCGTAACACTGATTTTCCAAGGCATACATGAATATAATTTTCATGTACAAAACAAGAAAGATAAAGTTAGAATTTCTGATTGCCCTCCCAATTTCTTTCCTCCCACGTAGGGAAGGGATGTCTGCCTTCAGAACCTTTCTATGCATACGGCTTTAGAAATATATCATATTGTTCTAATGTGTTTGCTAAGAGCATAAATAGTATATTTTTTCCTGTTCCGCAGTACACCCTGCAAATATTCCTATCTCCTTATATATTCTCTATCATTTCAGGCTCCCTAATTGAATGTGGGAATGAGGGGGCCCTACTCAGAGCTTACGGTATATGTCGGCATGAGCCCGGCCAGCCCCTATAGGTTGACCAAATTTGTCTCAGTGAGAAAGAGTGAAATCTCCTTAGAAAAGGCACCCCTTGTGTTTCTCACTTACATATCCATGAGTAGAAAGACAGGATTATAGAAGGAAGAGAGAAAGAAACTTGCCTTCTTTACTTTACTGGAGGGTGTTCTATTTAGGGAGCTTTCTACAAGACACAATTCAGTAAAAGCAGATCCCTCTCTGGGAATTGGGAGTGGATCCCGAAGAAAGGGCATCTGTTGTGAAATATTGGGTTGTTGGAAATGTCATGATGCATGTCTGCATAAAAACATAGAAGAAGTATGTCATGACTTTTCCGATAACCCAATCTAGCTGATGTTTTCCCAGAGCGATGGGTAGCTTCTAAGATAGTGCGAAAATAATTGACTCCTGTTTTTGACTTCAGAAAATTCTATAATATTGGTCAAATATTCTCTTTTACCAATGGCTTTAGGAATGTCATGGCAGGTTATCAGGGAAGAGGGCTACACAGTTTCTTTGGAGATCTTCAATAGCTACTGTAGAGTAACTTTATAGACAGGGTTATGGAAAATGCTACACAGAGGTGAAGCCCCTCGAGTCTTTGGGAGATGGTGGTTACTTATTGCTCATGTAAGCCTTTGAATAATGCTAGTATCCTACTGGTTCATAGATGGGGATACTGAGTCTTTAGGGTTTGGCTAGGAAATTAGAGCCCGAAGCTGAATTTTCGATCCATTTTAAGCCCATTTCAAGTTAAAACCCATCACCTCAAAGGCTTGTATTTTCTCATTTGACAGTGGTCTTGTTACCTGTTCTATGTTGACGACCCTCAAATTTTGTCTTTAGCTCAGGTCTCTTCCACTAGGCCAGGTCTCATATTTCCAGTTGCCTGCTGAACAAGCACTTGAATGTTTTATAAGCCTTTAAAATGTCCAAAATAGAGTTATTGATTTACACCCCCCTCCCCCACAGATTACATCTCCTCAGCTCATCCTGGGTTTAGTAGATAGCACCACTACCTGTCCGGTTACTTAGCTGCTGTCTCCTGGATCCTCTTCCTCCCTTCCCATCTTACACCCAATCCATTTGGTAGGGTCTGTTGGCCTACCTGGACAGCATGTCCTGCATCTAGTCACTCTTTGCTGTTTCCACTTCTAGAACTGAGTTCTGGGTCCCTCCCAGCTCCCGTCTCAATCACCACAGCATGTAGCAGGGGCCCTCCTGCCCACATCCTTGGTCCCTCTGCAGCATATTCTACGTGGCAACTGGAGCGAGCTTGAGAAAGTACAACAGCACCCTCTCCTTTGCAGATGTGAACGTGTGCTTGCGTGTGCATGCACGCACCCACACACATACACACACACTGTTATGATGAAAACCTTCTGGAAGCATCCCATTGCAACCGGAACAAAGGTCAAGCTCCTTCCTAACCTCTATCCAACTTTTCTGCCTTGCTCAGCTCCAGTGGTGGCAACCTTCTTTCAGCCTCAGGAGCACACCGTGTGTCCCGTGACCTGGGGCTTTGCTCTTGCTTTTCCTTCTGTTGGGAGTAGTTTTCCCTCAGATGTAGGCAGGCTCATAACTCAAGATTCAGGTGTCCCCTCTTCAAGAAGCAGAAGCAGTGTGTCCGTTGTTGGCTGTCGTGTGATCCTTCCAGTGTCTGAACGTTTTGTTTCTGTATCTGAAATTCTATTTCTGCATTTTCAAAGTCTTGACAGGTAGTTTCTCCCTCCTCACCCCCATCCCAAAGTACGAGCTAGAGAGCAAAGGCTTTTCTGCTGTGTCCGCTGAAGGGTTGTGAGGTGCTCCCGGGAGGGTCCAGGCCGAACTCTCTTGTGTATGACTAAAACTGTGTGCAACATCCATCAACACTTGAGGAGGGTAAGAAAAAGATCTTGTGTTCCCACCCTTTCGTAGAAGCCCCGATTACTCAGGACCTAGAATGATGCCAGATACCTGGGAGACATTGAAAAAGAAATATCTGCAGATCATTTGAGTAGGTCCATGAATCTACAGAAAGAAAAATCATACTCAGCCTGCTTTCATTCTGAAATATTTATTTATTTATTTATTTGCCTTAGGGAGCACACACACACCAGAGAGACAGAGACAGAGTCTGTGAGAGGGAAACTGGAACTCATCCCCCAGGGAGGATGAGCATGCTGCAAACGCTTCTCCTCTATTCTCCTCCTGGGATCTTGGGTGTGCACGCACACGTGCCTGGTGTGAATTTCAAGCCACTGGATCTGGGACTCAAACTGCAGTCGACCATGTGGGTGTCCAGTGATACAACTGCTATGCCATCTGTTGGCCCCCATCCTGCTTTCTTGACTCCCATTGGAATGCAGGGACAGGGTTGTATTGCTGCCTTCGTGATGAAGAAGGTGGTTTGTCTGAAGCAGTTTGGTCTCATCTTTTCTTTTGTTTTAATATTAGAAACCCAGAATATAGACGCGAAAGGTGAGCACGTGAGGCCCCACTCTTCCTTTTCACCCACTTTCTTTTCTTTTACGTGCCCATCCCCTTCTCCCTAGACGGTTCTGCCTCCCAGGCTCAGCAGCTTCCCAGCTCCCAGGTTCTGTGGCCCGACGAAGCTGTGTGCCTCCGAAAGAAGAAGAGACACTCCCGCCCTGACCCCTTCGCCCGGCTCTCGGACCTGTGCCACCGCCAGGTCCCGGAAGACCAGACGGCGATTCTCAACAGCGTGGACCACGATGACCCAGGCCATGCCACTCTGCTGTGACACGGCCTTGCTCTAAGTGTCCCCAGGGTGAGGGTGCCAGGCAGAAGGGACAGGGAGGGACATGGTGCAGGGACTTGTCCTCCTCTGTCCACCACGGAACGGCCCTCTCTCCTGCCAGAGTGGGAGGCTCCCGCAGGCCCTGGCCAGTGGCCTCTCACTTCCAGGACAGAGGGTTGCGGGCAGACCTTCTCCTGTGGCTGGAGGTCAGGAAGTGAATGGGGCCAGGGAGACATCTGTCTTCATCCCCACCTCTTCTCTCTTCATTCGACTGATTTTTCTCAGTCTTTGGAAGTGAAGGAGAGGAAAGCAATGGCTTTTACTGCTCTCTGCTTCCGTTTCAGTTTTTCAAGTCCGGGGAGAGGGCTGGACTTCCCGCTGTCTTCCTGACTCCGCATACACTTAGGTAGAGATGCGAAGGCACGTGTATGTAGTTGCGGGTTTCTCTATGGTATCTATGTGTCCCCTGAAGCAAAGTGCTGTTCTTTCCGCGGCCAGCCGGGGTCTGAGCTGGCTGGGTGCCCTGCTGCCTGCCTGGGGGATTATTCCTCCTGAAACAGGATCTCTGCCTCCCAGCCGAGTTCACCATTTGTCTCTATCTTCTCCCAGCCAGAGCAGAAATGGGGCCAAGCCCCGATTACCAGCTGCCTGTTGGGGGGCTTCAGCAATGCGTTACCACAGAGCTAAACACAGGCCTTTTGTTCTTGGTTCCCGGGTGAAAAAAGGGTGGCCAGGCATAGCCAGACTGGCACCTTTCTTCTCCTGCAGTTCGACTGGCGCTACAGAAACAGGAGCTGCCTCGCGTGGGGCTGAAGGGTAGATCCCTGTGGCAGAGGTACGAGCGCATTCGTCCGTCCTTCTGCTCCACCCAGGGCCCAGAGCCCTGTGGCTGAGGGCTGTCCCGCCCGCAGCCACCTGTGTTGAGCATCGAGCTGCCGCGGCTCTATTTATACCCATCTCTGGCTCAGTGCTCTGGAGTGCCAAGTGGATCCTCCTTTCCTTTTGTGGGAGCTAATTCTCCAGATTGATTAATTGCCACTTGTGTGGAGCCGCCTGCCGCTCCTTTCCTACTCGCCACGTGCTGCCTGACGACTCTTCTTTGCCCTCGGGCCTCCTCCACCGCAGACTCCAGCTCCTGTGGGATGGCTCAGATGGACCGAGGTGCCTCGGCTCTCTGGGCTCTGGGGCTCTCTCCCTCCAGTCTATCATGGGGAGCTGGCTGAAGCCAAGGAGTGAAGGTGGCAGGGGTGTAGATATCGGCCTGGGAGCTGGTTGTCCTCTGGCAAAATCTTGTCTTAGTTCAAACTATTAGCACGCAGAAGCTTTTGCCAGGTCATCTTCCTACTGGGATGCAGCTTTCCCAGTAAGATAATGGTGCTGCCAAAGAACAGGGCGGAAGGCCCTGGCGGGGGCATGCAGGGTGGGTCTGCCCTCCCTTCCCCATCTTGTGCAGGAGCCCGCTCTCCTGGCTTGGCCTGAAGTAGAGGTAGCTGCCAGGATCCTTGAAGTATTTCCTTCTTGGTGCTGCTCTAGGGTTTGGGGCTCCACCGCCCCCCAGTCACCTGCCTAGATACTGACCACATTAAAGAACTAGAAGGCTTCTGTCTGCTGGGCCTGGTGCAGCTGCCAGGATGGGGCCTCTGAGGGCCAGGGAGCTGGTCCTTGTGGGGAGCCTTTCTCTTGGGGAATGACAGGCCTTAGTGCCTCCTTTTTTCAGAGAGCTGGGGACCAAGTCCCCATTGGGGTTCCGCTGTGAGTCACTGTGCAGGTCATTTCAGAACATGCCCGAAGATTCGTGGACGTGGAGGTGTGGAAGGGTGCATAGTGTCTCTGTTGTCTGGGTGGGGCCTGGGCCTTTGGCTGGAACGCTCTTCTGGAGCCTCCGAATCTGCTTGGCCATTGGGCAGCAGCTCTGGCAAGGTGGCAGAGCAGAGGTTGGCAGCTCTCTGGCCTTTTCCAGGGTGGCATTCCCTATGCCGCTGTGCTTTGACATGTTGCCCACTGGCCTCTCCCAGGGGATGTGAGCAGCAGGCCAGCACGAGCTACCATGTGGGACAACCTGGGCGCCTTGGCAGGTCAGCCTGCAGCCTTCGTGGTCTCGTGGCATGTGCAGCCTTTAGCGGGTGAGCTCAGGGTCGTTTCCCAGGTCTCGGGATGGGGCGACTTTGGAGGAGTCGGGCCACCCTTTCTGAGCTCTATCCTGGGCATTCTAGGCCCTGAGGTTGGAGAAGATGAGAGGATGAGGTGGAAGCTTCTTTAGGGTGACATGTGGGGTGAGAGCCAGGGTGGCCTCCCACGGTGGCTATGCTTTGTGGGGGCCCGTGCTGACTGGGGTGCTGACCTCTCTCCTCTTCTGCCCTCTGGCAGCACCCCTTCCTTACCGCAGCACATCAGACCATGCTGTGGGTGGGAGCTGGGTGTCAGCTGTGCTGTGGTGTCCCCAGGGCTGGGGAAAGGGCACAAGGTTTACCTGTTTCTCATGGCCTTGGGCTATCCCCTTCCGAAGAGGGCTTCCTTCCTGACAGTGCCCTCAGAGGCCCACAGCCTTTCTGCACCCCTGGGAGCTACTTCTGTCCCTTCTTTCAGGACTGCAGTGGAAATCGGCAGAGTACGAGCCTTCATTCCATGGGACAGAACATAAGGAGGTCACAGGCACACGCTTAGGTGCTGGGGGCGTGGGCCCATGGGTGACCGTGTAGTTGTGACTGCCCCGTGGGGTGAATCCCTGGGCAGCAGCAGTGACCGCGGTTAAGCTTCCTTGGACTGTCATGCTCCACTCCAGGGGAGGTCACATGTCTTCCAAACTGCCTTGTGTGGTCTGGTAATCTTGCAGTGGGAGTAACTCGGACAGAGCCCACCTTGCCTCTCAGACCTTTGTCTGCCTCTGCCTTCTGCGTCTGGGCTGGGAACTGTGGCCGTTTGTGTTGGGTGATCCACAGACGGTTGGGCGGGTGAGAAAGTCCCGTAGGGGCCTGAAAGCCTGCAGTCGTTCAGGGAAAGATGAGCAATAAGGGAGGAGGGCGAACCCTGTTCCTTGGTTTGCTGGCTGGACGCCAGGGGGCTTCACAGGTGGAGCAGAGCCCTGCCTTGGTGGTCCTGGGCCCAGCACCTGGAGGGGACCCTACTGTCAGCCCCCCATCTCCCTAGCAGTTTTCCTTCGGAAATGGGTGAGAGGGGCCTTTTGTGATTGCACCTTCTCACCAGGAAGGATGCCTTCATCTCATGGGTTGGCTGGGCCCGTGTCCTCCTTTGAGGGGCACCGGGTCTCACGCTCACCTCGGAAGGCTGTGCTGGGTGAATTGGACAAGTTTTGGGCAAATACTGCTATTTTTTCATGCTTTGCTTTTCATTTATGCTATCTGGAGTTGAACTGATTTCAGTTGTCTATTCTGCTGTTCTCATGCAGAGAAAACTGGATATGGTTCAGATATGGAATTTCCTGACTTTTTTGGGGGGGTGAGGTTGATAAAACAGCTTCCTGGGAGAAACAGGTCCCACAGAGCATCGGGCGTCTCTGCCGTGGCCCAGGATCTGAATCCAGGGCCGAGATCAGTGTGGCTGAATCTATTTCTTTCAATTTGCTAGCGAAAACCTTTTGGGGTTTGAGGGTGGGCTGGGGGAAGAATTGTACATAAAGGACATTTTATTAACATGTAGAGAAACCT